GTTGTGGGTGTTCCCTCTTTCTTGTGGTTTTAGCCACAACCCCGGGCCCAGTGGTGTAAGCAGACTCAGTGTCCACTGCCCTTGGCCCCGCCCTCACACCCTGGGCCGGCGGCACCAGCCGTGCGGCGTGCTTTGTGCTTTGTGCTTTGTGGTGCTCATTGTACCAGGGCTTTCATTCTCTGTGCAGCGGGCCCAGCGTTCCCGCCAGGTGCACCTTGGAGGGCATGGGTGTGTCCAGGCTGGGCCGTGAGGGGAGCTGTGCTCACATGCTCATGCACACCTTGTGTCATTCTCAGAAAGTCCGTCCACCCTGTAAAGTTACAGGAGTCTCGTAGAGCATTTTCTTCTAGCTTGCGTTCAGCACTCAGGGCTTGGAGGAGGCCAGGCCTCAAGCAGCCTGCCCTCGATGGAGCAGACGGAGCTCACGGGCACATTGGAAGTGCTGCGCCGGCAGAGGAGGGTGGTGCCCAGGGTGGCCCGGGGCAGACATGGGGCCAGTTGCATCCTCAGGGCCCCGGGGAGCCCAGTCCGCGGCTGTCTCTGACACTGTCTCCTTCTGCTCGCAGCAGCAGCAGGAGATGCTGGCCCTGAAGCACCAGCAGGAGCTCCTGGAGCACCAGCGGAAGCTGGAGCGGCACCGCCAGGAGCAAGAGCTGGAGAAGCAGCACCGGGAGCAGAAGCTGCAGCAGCTCAAGAACAAGGAGAAGGGCAAGGAGAGTGAGTGCTTGGCGGGGCACTGGGGTGGGGGCTCCTGCCTGGGGTCCAGAGGCCCTTGGGGCCACGCCCCTGGCTTCAGAGGTGAGCGCAGTCCCTGGCCTCGTCTCCATCCCGGCCATGGGAGTTGATGGTAAGCAGAGCCAGGGGCCTCGGAAGGACGTGTGCCTTGACCCTCGCCCTTCGGGGCTCTGGGGCAGCACCCCTGACAGGCTCGAGAACCCGAAGCCGGGACACGGCCGGGTGCATGGTGAGTCTGTCTGTGTGTTCTGCCTGGAGGTTTCCAGCGCTCAGGACCTCTATCTATCTATCTATCTATCTATCTATCTCTCTATTTATTTATTTATGGAGAGGTTTTTGCTATAGGGTGTGTGCACTCGCCAGACAGACAGAGAGACAAAGAGACAGAAAGTGAGAAATCACCCCCCAGGGGGGAGGGCCAACCACACCGCAATCCCTTCTCCTCCATTCTCCTCTTGGGATCTTGGGCATGCATGCACACACACACGCCTGGCGTGAGTTTAAGCCACCGGGTCTGGGACGCAAACTGTGGTCGACTACATTGGGAGTCAGCGACATAGTCATTACGCTAACTGCTGGTCCCCTCAAGACCTCATTTTGAGAGCACTTGCTATGGGCCTTGAGGTGTGTGTTACTTGTAGGACAGCCCGTAGCTGAGGAGGGCGTAGCTGTCAGTGGATGGTGGCCGCTTTGCCCCTGCCCTTCCCACCCCGGTTCTGGGCTCTGTTTACGTGGTGGCTGTCCCCAGGCATCTGAGACCTGCATGTCTGTGTTCTGAGAAAAGCCTGGTGTGAAGCCAGCCGGCAGGCCTTCAAATGTGCGTTTCCTGTTGGAAGATCAGAAGGACACGTGTGTCTGAGGGGAAGACCCGCGGTGCATCTCTCTGACTACCAGCCTCTGAGCAGAGCGCTTTGCCCGTCCCGCAGCACTGAACAGAGGCAGGCACACGTGTCCCTGGGGCCACAGCCTAGGGCTCAGGCACCCGACAAGCTGTTCTCTAGCTCGTGACAGTTGAAGGCCTTTTAAGCCTCTCTGCCCAAAGGAGGGGAGGCCGGCCGACCGCTGGTCCCTCCCCGGCTGCAGCGATCCCACGGCCCTAGCTGCAGTCCATGCAGCGTCGCTTATGAAGAGGCCATCGGCTGGTGCGCCTTCACTTCACTGCCTCCACGCAGAGACCCCCGACCTCATGCCAGGGGACGGTCGTGCAGTGCACACTGCCCTCAGATAGCTCGATAAGAACAGGTCGTATGAGGATCTATGGCTTAGCACTGCTTAGTATTTTAACTTCTTCTTAAAGTTTTTTCAAACTTCACCTTTTAAAATTCTTGGGGCCAGCAGGTGGTGTAGTGTTTAAGACATTGGTGGCGTGGTGGCTAAGGCACTGGACTCCCACGTGACTGACTGCAGTTCAAGTGTCACACCTAGCGACTTGCTTTCTCACTTTCCCTCTCTGTCTCTCTCTGGTGAGCGTGTGTGTCCTGTGGCAAATTATAATAATGATAAATAAAAATTAAATAAACCTCTTTCTTTTCTTGAAGAGGCTTTTGCTATAGGGCGTGTGTGCTCACCAGAAAGACAGAGAGAGACATAGAGTAGAAAGTGAGAAATCACCCCTCAGAGGGGATGGCCACACTGCAATCCCTTCTCCTCTATTCTCCTCTCCAGATTTTGGGCATGCACACACATGCACCCGGCGTGAGTTTAAGCCACTGGGTCCAGGACTTGAACTGTAGTCGACTACATGGGAGTCCAGTGCCATAGCCATTATGCCATCTGCTGGTTCCTAAATAATTCTTTTAAAAGAGAGAGAAAGAGAGAGACCCTGAACTCTCATGTGTCCAACTGCGGTTCGAGTCCCAGACCCGGTGGCTCAAAACTCACACTGGGCACATGTACGTGTATACCCAAAATCACAAGAGGAGAATGGAGGAGAAAGGACTGTAATGTGACTATTCCCCTGGGGAGTGATTTCTCACTTTCTCTTTGTCTCTTCGGCCAGCACATGCACCCTCCAGCAAAAGCTCTCTAAAAATAATTCTTCTTAGTGAGTGAGGCCAGCAGGTGACAAGATGGTAGGTAAGTTGCCAGACTGCCACAGGTCTGACTGTGGTCTGAGACAGACTGGTCACATGTGCCCAAAACTCCAAGAAGAGAACAGAGGAGAAGGATTTCTACGTGGCTATTCCCCCCATAGGGGTGACTTCTCACTTTCCCTCCCTTTGTCTCTGTCTCTGTCTATCCAGCTAGCACTTGTGCCCCATGGCAAGAAAAAAATCTTTAAAAAAAATTATTTAATATAAAGGCCAGTCTGTGGCCTGGTGGTTAAGCACATGCCAACTATACAGGTCAAGTCCCGGCCCTTGCAGCTTAAAAAGCACAGTGAACTGGGACTAGCAGACAACGTAATCGTTACATCACTGGACTCCCACATAGTCAACCGTGGTTCAAGTCCCAGACCCAGTGGCTTAAAACTCTCACTGGACGCATGTGCGTACATGTCCAAGATCACGGGGAAAATGGAGGAGCAGGGGTTACAGTGTGGCTCTCCTCCAGGGAAGTGATTTCTCACTTTCTGTCTCTCTGTCCTTCTCTGTCTCTCCTATCTCTCTTTGTGTCTCCAGCGAGTGCAGGTACCCTATAACAAAAATCTAAGGAAAATAAAGAATACTCTGTGTGTGTGTGCCCACCCAAAAACCCAAAAAGTGGGAAAAAGGATTGTGGCGTAACCATTCCTCATGGGGAGTACTTTCTCCTCTCCTCCTCCCTCCACCCTCCCCTGTTTATAGTGAGCAAACAAGGCCCTCTGATAAACTTAAAACAAAAACACTTACTATCAAGAAAACATAAACAAGTATTTGTGAAATATAGTATTTGTGAAATAAGATCTCAGGACAATAAAACAGAGATGCCACTGTTACCTATGTGACAGTTTAAATAGAAGACATTCCTGGGACCAGCAGGTAGCGTGGTGGTTTAGGCACTGGATTCCCACATGACTGACCGCGGTTCAAGTCCCAGACCCGGTAGCTTGAATCATACAGGGCACACATTTGTGCATGCCTGAAATCCCAAGAGGAGAATAGATTGCAGCGTGGCCATCCCCCTGGGGGTGATCTCTCACTTTCCTTCTCACTAGCTCTCTGTCTCTCTCCAGCAAGTACACTCACCCTATAGCAAAAAACTAAGGGGAAAAAAAACTTAAAAAAAAAAAAAAGACATTCCCACGAGGAACTTGGAAGTTCTTGCTGTTTCCTCCCTGATCTGAGCCTGCCGTCCCTGCCCGCCCAGAGGTGTCTGTGTCCACTCCTCTGTTTTGGTGCTGTTTGTCCTGCGGGCACTTCAGCCTCCTGCCAGAAGACTGAGCGATGACCACCAGGTGCTTGGTGTTTCGGATAAAGAATTGAACAAAACACACCAATAACAGAAGGAAAAGGTCGTTTACTCAGTAAAAGCGACAGTACACTCCTGAGTGGTAGGAGCAGGCCTGAACGGAGGGAGAAAGAGTGGCTCACAGGCCCCGGCGGTCACATTCTGAGAGGTTTGTGTTTATAACTTTCTCAAATCTAGGTCCTGTTGGTTGATCATTGACTGGGCTCACTGATTGTTCTCGTTCCATTGGCTCTATCAAATGTGGCCACGCCCACTGATTCATCTCATTGACTATCTCCAGTGTGGCTGGGCCCACTGATTCATCTCATTGGCTCTATCAAATGTGGCCACGCCCACTGATTCATCTCATTGGCTATCTCCAGTGTGGCTGGGCCCACTGATTCATCTCATTGGCTATATAAAATGTGGCTTAATCAGCTCGACATCCCCCTACTCTCCTGGGTACTTTTCCTTGGGCGGAGAATTTTCTGCCCTGATTGGTTTCCTGTCTAGCCACAGAGGCAGACAGTCCAGTGCCTACCTGTGTCCAGTTGCTAGCTTTCTCCTGTCTCGTTTTACCCTAGGAGGCATGATCCCCATAGATCTCTTAGGGTAGTTGAGGGTAGACGGTCTGTCTTCCGTAACTGCTTCATGGTGGAAAGGGGCAGAGCCAGGACAGGTCTTTGTGATGTCCCAGGTGTGTTCTTCGGAGGGCTGTCCTTGTGCTGGGGGACTTGCAGTAGGATTCAGTGGTGGTCCCAAGGCGGTGAATCCCTACTGTGTGGTCATTTGCAGTTGCACAGCTTCTAAGCGAGAAGAGATACACTTGGGTAGGAGCTTTGAAGACAGCCCCGACACCAGGGTGAGCACCAGCACTGACGGGGCCCCATGGGGAGCAGCAGCCAAGGGGCCGTGAACCCGACGGCGCTGCTGGGTTTGTGAGGCACGTGATCACGGAGAGGCTGCTCTAAGGCACCTGCTGGCCACCCGTGGCGTACCGTGAGTTCCAGCACAGATGGGCGCCTGAAGGGAATCGGCACCATTGTGATTCCGAAGTGGCGCTCTCCGCAAGACCTCCATGGCACTGGGAAGCTCTGGGTAACTGCCCTCCTCCCGGCACGCTCTTGGTCAGGTATTTTGAGGTCCTGCAAGCCCTGTGTGTTTAACTGGGAATTCGGACCTCCCTGTGTCTAGGGTGATGAGTCATTGCGCTAGTGGCCCACAGCTGAGTAGGAACAGGGACAGCTGCATATGGCACTGAGGATGAGGGTGACCAAAGCCAGCTGTCCTTAGTCGAATGCGGGTGGGACACCTTAGGGCTTGGGCGATCCTGTATCCCCCATTTGGCGTAAGTGCTGGCAAAACGGGAGTGCCTCAGGGAGACTGGCAAGGCTTGGGCAGCCAAAATGTTAAGAATCCCTTTTCAGTGGCTTCAGATCCTCTTCTAGCTTCTAGTCTTTAGGACACTGTTCGTGATGAGGGGGTGTATAGGGGCCCTTAGGTCGTATTTTTATTGGGGTGCTGTTCCAGCCCTTCCTGATTGTCCAGAGCACCAGGCCACGGGCCAAGTGTTTCATCTCTGTACCTTGGTACCCCGTAAGAATCTGAAGGAT